ACCTGGCTCCCTGCGACTTCTTTCTATTCCTCAACGTGAAAACGTGGCTCGCGGGAAAGAAATTCAGCTCAAACGAGGTTATCGTCGAAACAGAAGCCTATTTTGAAGAGTTTGACAAATCATATTTTTTTGAGGGGTTAAAGAAATGGCAGTGACGTTGGAAAAAATATATCGTTCTAAAAGGAGATCACGTTGAAAAATAAAAAAAAATAAATAAAAAACTTGCATCTTCATTCCTAACACAGGTACTTATCAATCCATCCTATATATATATATATATGAATATATCTATGAAAGAATTGTAATTGACTCTTTTTTACTAATGTTAACGGCAGATTTTTCTACTTTGAACATTATTTGTATTCTTCTTAAAATCTTTGTGTTTAGTTGTAAAATGCATACAGGATAAATATATAGGAAGTCCAATATTTAATATTATATCAGGATAATATGGTAAAAAATGATATTTTGTTTTCAAACAAGAATTAAATAAAGTAAGATATATTTTATGATGCTCATGTATTAAATATTTAAAATATATATAATATATATAAATATATTTTATATATAAATATATAAAATATAGTAATATTTGTAATATATTATTTGGGGGCGTGTTGCCTATTTTATAGGCGTATATTAGTTAGACACGGGGCAGTTGGACACAGTCCAATCACAAGTCGCTGTTCCAAGGGACCCTACAAATGTCTCTAATTACACGGTGCTGTGATTGGCTGTGTCCAAGTGCACCGCTCCCCTATTTTATGATTTCGTGATCTGTCGCTCGCGGGAAGGGTGATATGACACTCGCTGTTTCTAGTTTTTATATAAACGTAAACATTTTATTGAAGTGTGTTACATGTGTGTATGAGAGTGTATGTGCGTATTCTTGAAATTGTGCTCGCCGTCTTATTGCTCGTCGAGCCGCCGCGTTCAGGCCCTTACTAGGGGGACGATGCGTTTTTCTCCGTTGTGGATCGCCTGAGTCCGGCGTCCGGTTCTCCTTGTCCTCGTGCCTGCTCGTGTGGCATGGTGATATGGGTCGTCGGACCCTGATGTCGCCGCGAGCCAGAGAAGCCGCTGTAGGGCGAGTTAGTGTCTGTTGCGGAAGCCAGATCCGGTGGAGTTTTCACTGCGTGTGGACGACAGTGTTGGTTGATGCTGGTGCGGGCGCTGGGGGAGGTTCCCACGCGAGCGGGGAAGGTGTTCCAGACCGCGTTGGTGAGGGTGTCCGCGGTTGCGGTGATCGTCCTGCCGGTTCCCTTGCCTCCGGTTTGGCAGTCTGGATCTCGGGGGAGCTGTCCCCGAAGAGTAAGTACAGGCGTTTCCTGAGGCCCTTGCTCACAGGCGGCGTGTGGGCTGGTGCCCGCGCCGCGGAGCTGGCCGACCGTCCCTTTTTTGGCGTAGTGGAGTACTTTGACGCCTCTTCGGCGTCAGTGGCCCCGTTGCCGCTTGTGCAGCGAACGCGCTTCTTCAGCGCGAAGCACCGCTTATGCAACGGATGCGCTTATCCAGCGCGGAGCACCGCTTATGCAGCGGACGCGCTTATCCAGCGCGGAGCACCGCTTATGCAGCGGACGCGCTTATCCAGCGCGAGGAGTAGCGCCTAGAGGTGCTGTTTGCGACTGCGGGTCCTATGGCTGTTATAAAAGTCGCCTGTAGGGACCAAAGCAGCGGAGTGCGAGTGTGTCCGAATTCCCGCGGAGTCTGACTTTTATTGTCTCCATTAGCTAATCTTCTCGCGAGAAAACCTCCCCGCGAATGCGCCACCGAACGGCATTGCGCGGAGGCTCTTGCGGTTGTGGCGGCGGCTCGGCGAGCGGCGGCGGCGGCTCGGCTAGCGGCGCCGCGCTTGTGTGTGTGGATCTATATCGATCCGCCACATCACCCCCTTTGTTGTCTAAGAGCTCCTAGGGAGAAACGAACCGTTGGGCGCGATACTTTGCCGCTTCTCGTTCTGATTCCCTCGTGCTGTTTTTCTGGCTCCCTCGTTGCCTTAAGGGGTTCTTACGTGGTTGTATCCGTCCCATTTGGCGCTGTTGCTAGTATGTATGCTGGTTTGAGACGGTCTATGTTGACGTTTGCCGTTTTATCTTTCATTTTCAGTGAGAAGAACTTCTGTGTCCTCGTGAGTACTTCATAGGGGCCATTGTACGCCGGTTGCAACGCTCGAGTTGGTGCGTCCTGTCGTACGAAAACGTGTGACGTTTCTTCGAGGCCCTTCTGTTCGAAGATTGCGGGTAGGCCGTGGCGTTTTACTTGTTGCGGCCGAATACTTCCTATGGTTTGTCGTAATCTTCGAACGAAATCGCTGCAGTCTTGACTTCCCGTAGAAGTGGCTTCCTGGAGGAATTCTCCCGGCAATCGAATGGTCTCACCGTATACCAATTCGGCTGGGGTCGTTTTTAAATCCTCTTTAACGGCTGCTCGGATTCCCATGAGTACAACCGGGAGAGTATCCACCCAGCTTTCTGTTTGGTGGCATTTGATGGCTGTTTTTAGCTGCCGGTGGAATCGCTCCACCATGCCGTTGGCCGCTGGGTTGTACGCCGTTGTCCGCCAATGAGTTGTCCCGGTGAGTCGGGTGAGCTGTCGGAACAACTCGGCTTCGAACTGTCGGCCCTGGTCTGTGGTAACTCTGATAGATGTTCCAAATCTTGCAATCCAGCCTGTGAAAAGATATCGTGCGATAGTTTCTGCTGTGATATCTGGCACCGGAATAGGTTCTGGCCATCGTGTAAAGCGGTCCACGATAGTGAGACGGTAGCGGTAGTCTCTGGAGGAAGGCAAGGATCCCACGATGTCGACGTGAATGTGCTCGAATCTTTGAGTGGGCGTCGTGAAGGTTCCGACAGGCGAGTGTACATGACGACGTACCTTGTTCTGCTGGCAGGGTATGCATGCCTGTGCCCATCCTCTGCAGTCCTTCTCGATGTTTGGCCAGATGTATCGCTGTGATACTAGCTTCGCCGAAGTTTTTACTTCAGGGTGTGCTAATCCGTGCAGGGACTGGAAAACCTGCTGCCGGAATGCTTTTGTTACAAACGGTCGAACCAGCTGTGTGGAGGTGTTACAGGTGATTTTGTGTTTCGATCCTGGAATCGGTAGTTTTTCTAACTTGAGAGCGGTTTGCTGCTGTTGCAGTTCCTGCAGTTCTGCGTCGCTCTCTTGCGACTTAGCGAGTTCTTCGAGATTTACCCCTTGTTGGATGCTTTCCATCCTGGACAGCGTATCGGCTACGACATTTTCCTTTCCGGAAATATGTCGGATGTCTGTTGAGAATTGTCCGATGTACGCGAGATGACGTACTTGTCGTGGTGAACTGTGTAGGGGGTCCTGCTGAAACGCGTAGACGATCGGCTTGTGATCAGTATAGATCGTGAATATGTGGCCCTCCAGTATATGCCGATAGTATTTAACTGCCGTGTAGATCGCTAATAGCTCTCTAACGTAGGGGCTGTACTTCGTCTGAGCAGGATTCAGTTTTTTACTGAAGAAGGTTAGTGGTTGCCATTCTTGTTGTACCCGCTGTTGAATCACAGCTCCGATGGCTGTGTCCGACGCATCGGTTGTGAGCGTGATTTCGGCTGCTGGATCCGGGTGTGCCAACAAGATAGCCCGAGCGAGGCTTTCTTTGCACTCTTTGAAAGCTTCTTCGTAAGTAGGCGTCCATGTGATAGGCGCGTTGCCTTTGTTTTTTGGTCCGCCTAGAAGCTTATTTAACCGGGCTTGATCTTGTGCTGCCCCTGGTATGAAACGCCTGTAAAAATTGAAAGTTCCCAGGAATTGCCGTAGCTGCTTGACTGTTGTCGGCTTGGGGAACTCCTTGATAGACTTAATCCTTTCAGGCGGAGCTTTGGTTCCATGCTGGGATACTATGTAGCCTAGGAAGCGTACCTGCTGCGCCCCAAAGACGCATTTAGCAGGACTGATGAGTATGCCGTATTCTTGTAGTCTGGCAAATAGCTTCCTGAGATGCTCCTGGTGCTCCTATTCTGTGGTAGAGGCCACCAGGATGTCATCAATGTAGGCGTAGCAGAAGTCCAAGCCGTGTAGGACTTCGTTGATGAACCTTTGAAAGGTTTGTGCCGCGTTTCGTAGCCCGAAAGGCGTATACAAAAACTCAAAGAGCCCGAATGGCGTGGTGATTGCCGTTTTCGGAATATCTTCAGGGTGCACCGGGATCTGGTTGTAGGCTCTAACCAGATCTACGGTCGAGAAAATTTTCTTCCCTGCGAGGGTTTGTGAGAAGTCCTCAATGTGAGGAACCGGGTACTGATCGGGTACCGTGCGAGCATTCAGGCGTCTATAGTCTCCGCATGGGCGCCAAGTGTTTTCTTTCTTTGGCATTATATGTAGAGGTGCGGCTCATGGGCTTTTTGAAGGGCGAATGATCCCTTCTTTCAGCAGGAGATCAAACTCCGCTTTCGCAGTTTTGAGACGATCAGGAGCCAGTCTTCTGGGACGGCATGCTTTCGGCGGTCCTGACGTTGTCTTGATGTAGTGCCTGGTGGTGTGTTCTGCTCGCGTTAGTTCCGTGCGTAGGCGGGTAATCCCCGGGTATTCTGTTAAGAGGCGGTGGTACGTATCCTCTTCTCTAAGAACTTTGACTGACGTAGTCGTGGCCTGGTCCATGGTTCCCGGGGTTTTCAAGCCTGTTTTGCCATCTATTAACTTTCTCGTACGTAGATCCGGTAACAGATGGTAGTGGGATCAAAAATCCGCGCCGATTATTGGTTGCGATACGTTCGCAATGACAAAACGCCAAGGAAAAGACCTTTTTAGACCAAGTTTTGGTTCTATGGTGATCCACCCGTACGTCGGTATCGCTGACCCATTAGCTGCGTATAAGATGTACGCTGTGGGTTGCTTCGGACCTTGGACCGCGGAGCGTGGATATACGCTGACATCAGATCCGGTGTCCACGAGGAATCGTCTTTTGGATTCCTGGCAGGTGACGAAGAGGCGACGAGGTGTCTGGGTTGTGTCACTGGCCGCCATCAGTGACTCCCCCGCTCGTTTCCCGATTGGAAATTGCACGGCTGGGTGCACTTTCGAGCTTGTTGCCCGAACTTCCGATGATAGAAGCAAAGGTGATCCGGTTTCTTCTTCTTCCTTGATTTGCTTCTGTTTCGGTTTCGTGGACGAGGCGTTTGCTCGAGACGTCGAGCCATGGCTGCCACCTGGTCGGTGAGTTGCCGTATTTGGTGGGCCATCGGTGACGGATCGTCTGACGCGGTTTTTACCTCATTGACTGAGCGGACAGTGACCTCTTGTATTCGGTCTGCCTGTTCCGCGACATCCTCCAGTTGGTCCTGCGCCCTGGTTGCCAGAATGGCTTGCATGGTTGTCGGTAACCGCCCGAGCCACAACGTGCGTAACAGTTGTTCGGGTACGGCATTTCCAGTGAGTGTGCGTAGGTTCCGCAAAAATTGAGAAGGCTTGCGGTCTCCCATCTCTTCGTGTTCTAGGAGTTGGCGGATCCTGTGCTCTTGTGAGGCTGACAGTCGACAGATTAAGGCGGTCTTAATCGCGAGGTATTTGTCCGTGGCAGGTGGGTCGGTGATTACGTCCTTGACCTCACGTGCGTACCTCGTGTCGATTTGCGAAAGTACATGAGCGTACTTGGTAGCGTCTTGCGTAATGCCGGCGAGCAGGAATTATCCTTCGAGTTGTGCGAACCATAGCTCGGGCTCGTTCTCCCAGAAGGGTGGTGCGCGGACGGCGACTTTGCTAATGTGAGTACCCATGGGCGGATCTGCTGTTGGATTCCTGTTTTTGGCCGTTGCGCCTTCCGAAGCCCGTGTGGGCGAGCGCTCCGTTGGCATTTTCTCTCACCCGCGAGGATCACATCGGGATCACCAGTTTTGGAGCCGTGTTGCCTATTTTATGATTTCGTGATCTGTCGCTCGCGGGGAGGGTGATATGATACTCGCTATTTCTAGTTTTTATATAAACGTAAACATTTTATTGAAGTGTGTTACATGTGTGTGTGTGAGAGTGTATGTGTGTGTTCCTGAAATTGTGCCCGCCGTCTTATTGCTCGTCGAGCCGCCGCGTTCAGGCCCTTACTAGGGGGACGATGCGTTTTTCTCCGTTGTGGATCGCCTGAGTCCAGCGTCCGGTTCTCCTTGTCCTCGTGCCTGCTCGTGTGGCATGGTGATATGGGTCGTCGGACCCTGATGTCGCCGCGAGCCAGAGGAGCCGCTGTAGGGCGAGTTAGTGTCCGTTGCGGGGGCCAGATCCGGTGGAGTTTTCACTGCGTGTGGACGACACTGTTGGTTGATGCTGGTGCGGGCGCTGGGGGAGGTTCCCATGCAAGCGGGGAAGGTGTTCCAGCCCGCGTTGGTGAGGGTGTCCGCAGTTGCGGTGATCGTCCTGCCAGTTCCCTTGCCTCCGGTTTGGCAGTCTGGATCTCGGGGGAGCTGTCCCCGAAGAGTAAGTACAGGCGTTTCCTGAGGCCCTTGCTCACAGGCGGCGTGTGGGCTGGTGCCCGCGCCGCGGAGCTGGCCGACCGTCCCTTTTTTGGCGTAGTGGAGTACTTTGACGCCTCTTCGGCGTCAGTGGCCCCGTTGCCGCTTGTGCAGCGAACGCGCTTCTTCAGCGCGAAGCACCGCTTATGCAACGGATGCGCTTATCCAGCGCGGAGCACCGCTTATGCAGCGGACCCGCTTATCCAGCGCGGAGCACCGCTTATGCAGCGGACGCGCTTATCCAGCGCGAGGAGTAGCGCCTAGAGGTGCTGTTTGCGACTGCGGGTCCTATGGCTGTTATAAAAGTCGCCTGTAGGGACCAAAGCAGCGGAGTGCGAGTGTGTCCGAATTCCCGCGGAGTCTGACTTTTATTGTTTCCATTAGCTAATCTTCTCGCGAGAAAACCTCTCCGCGAATGCGCCACCGAACGGCATTGCGCGGAGACTCTCGCGGTTGTGGCGACGGCTCGGCGAGCGGTGGCGGCGGCTCGGCTAGCGGCACCGCGCTTGTGTGTGTGGATCTATATCGATCCGCCACATATTACTTAAATATTGTAATATATTACTTGAAATCTGTGTTGAAGTAATTACATCGTTTATTTCTTTAACGATTAAATAAAATTACTAAACTTCGTCCTTCTTTGGAACTAGATCTCCTATGATTAAATTAAAATATCTTATTAACATAACATTTCAGACGTCGAGAAGATAACGCAGCCATTGGCTAAATGATCTTTAGTTACTGAAAGTGGTTTATTTTTCTCAAAATTATTATATAAAAAAATATTTAATTTATGAATTTAATAATGTGAATGAAAAGTACATTTTATGTATCAAATGTTATATAATTAAAGCCATATCATAGCAATAAATACCTTCGTATAAGTCATGCATAATATCACAACTTATATTTTCATAAATATGAAAATGATTAAGATTATTCCAAATACAATTTGTTCTTATTCCAAAACATAAATTTTGTAGATGGCCTTTATAATCTTTGACTCTCTCTTCGTGTAGATCAATGTTAAATCAATTTATGTTTTAATATTTTCTTTATTTTTAGTACAAAATCGACAATACTTAGCTGAAAAACTTTCAGTAAAACCGAGAATTGTGTAAACTCCCAAGTTATCTCCAAGTACTTGTTATCAATAACAAGTACTACTATAAAAAATACCTTAAATGTTTTATTATTTTATACAATTGATAATCCCTCATGTTTCCAAACTTTTTAATTCTTCAAGTAAAATATTAAAAGTTGATCTATTTCCAAATTGCGTACGATATTCGCTATGAAACTACATTGAAAGGAAAATATTTTTTATTCGACTGGCATTTTTAGCAAACATAGAGGCAATCATGAAATATATTACGTCCAATTTATATACAGGGTGTTCGGAAAGTACCGGGACGCCCGAATATCAGGAAAAATATAAGTTTTACAAAAAAAATGTTTCAGACAAAAGTTGTGGCGTTTAAAAAGATGTATTTACTGATCACATCAGTTTGACCTTGGGTTGCG